CGAAACCTAAACTCCAAGTCATCCACCCTGTGAACCACGTTGTCCCTCCCCTTTTCCCGAACCTTCCAAAGAGCTCGAAGCCCGTCCTAGACGCTTAACCCTGTACCGGAGGGCGGAAGGGCCCGTGCCTCGCCAACAATATCTTCGGCCGAGGACCCGCCGCTCCCGGAGGCCTGTCGAGTCGAAGCGCAGGGGAACTAAGAGATGAGGGCTGAAATAATACCAAAAAATGTTTGCAATATTAATAATAGTAATAATTAGAAATAATAGTAATAATACTAATGCTAGTCATAATAGTAATATTGGCAATAAACGTAATAATAATACTACTACTAATAATAATATTGTTATGATTATTGTCATTATTATTAATATTAGGGCACTGCGTAGTGGTGTGCCTAACTAATATACACAATTGACAAGGCAGAACGCATGAGCCGGGCTTCTCAATTTCATGAAGAGCTTTGCCAGTCTGCCAGTCTGATGGAAAGATGTCCTTGATAAAGGTCGTTGTTTTGGAGGCTGGCGGGGTTCAGGAAGCTGGCAGCTAATGCGTGGCGGTCACGACACCTGCCATGAGTCTGTTTGGACTACATTTCTACATAACACTGGACTGCTCTCTTCGCAGTTGTCCCGAAGACCTGCAGGGTTCACTCTGGCTCGCATGAAATTTTGGACGAAACAAGGATCAATTCAGTGGACTGCAGCACATCTTCTTGACTGCTCTTGAAGCAACCGACATCACTTCCATCCGCCGCGCACGGAGTTCTGTTACGGTTTCTCAGGGGTCGTTGTCCCGCAACGCCAAAACGACACACCTTCTCAGAGGACCGTGGTTCCCGCTGATGAGCTGTGCTCGTTGTGACCGAAAGTTGGGCACAGTCCGCAGACTACAATGCTGATGCTGTGCAGAGGACGGTATGAGCGAGACGGCCAATTGTAAAGCTGGGGCTGTCTTGCTGTTTATGGCATTGGGCACCTAGTCATTTCTTCACGGGTCGAAGTCTCCCAGGAGCTTTTGCTGTGCCTTTCAACATCCCTTCGATAGTTTTGATCCGATGGGGTAGGGAAAAACAGCCAATCCCTGAGCCCACATGTGCCTGGCCCACTGTCAGCAGAAGACTCTCCATCATGGCCTGGGGATTTGGGCTTCAAACTCAATAGCACGGTTGTTGCTTGAGAAGCTCCACTTTTGACCTGAGACAGAACGACACCGGCCGCGACAAGCACTTGCCAAAATGTTTCATGCACGAACCAAATGCAGTCCCAAAAGCATACGTTTCGTTCTGCTCGCGCGTGAGATTGGCATTCGTGTGAAAGCCTGCCACACTTGACCGATGCAAGGAGCATGGCTAGTACAAGAAGGCATTTAAGAAGCCACAGCAGCTGAGTCTAAACCAATTCTGCCTCTGGCCAGCGGACGTGTCTGCACAGGTAGATGGCAGGGGATGGTGGGGTAAAGTGCCGCTGGCACTGTTCATTCACCGCGCCTTCGGTACGAAAGCTACTTGCAACACATGCAAACCTCTCTAAACGAATGGCATAAAATCAAGTAGGGACTCTTTAACGGCAGGGTTCTTCACATGCTCAGCGTGATCCGAGCATTCGTACTTCGATGACCCGTAGCTCCCCACCTTGCCCCTACCAGACCTTCAAACCCCGAAACATGCCCCAGCGCACCATAGATCCCCGGCGGGGTCGTCAACGGTGTGTGTCGGATGTTCTCGAGTGTTTCCTCCAGGTCAGGCTGCCTAGATAAAGGGTTTCAGGGTTCTCCTACGATTCAGCGTAGGAAGCTCTGAGCAGGCATGATCTGACTTTAATCTACGCCTTGAGAACCGCAAGCACCGCAGACCGACGAGGCTGCTCCGTTAAATCCTATGCCCACTCCGAGGCCTCCAGGGTGCCAGGCGGGGGCACGGTAAACTCGGGATGCTCGGCACAAAGTGCGTGGCCTGCGTGTCAGACCGGAAAAAGCAACCCGGCGTCTCGTGAAGGATGTTGACAGCGCGGAAAGACCGGAATCCGGATGGAAGGATGCAGAAGGATGAGTCGCCTGTCGATAAGTCTCATGGCCGAGCAGTCTGCCTCCACATATATCAGATTGGCAACAGTCTTCGTTCGCTTGACCAGTCAGATGTGTTCGGGGCCGGCCGAGCTAGCCGGACGAAACACTCTAAATCTAAACCCAACCCGCAGGATGAAAGCCCTGTGAAGGTCATCAGTAGGCCTTCTGGGGTTTGGGGATCCTTGAGCTCGGAGGCAGATGGGTAGATCGACGATCAAGTGCCACATATTGGGCAAGTGTTCAGAATTCGTCTGTCTAGCAATGGCGGAATTGGTCATATCAACGGCCTGGCGTCAGCACATCTGCGTTGTAGTAATCAAGCAGGAGAATCATCAGAAGACGCCGATCCTTCCGTTTGCTAGGGCTGAGGACCACAGCGAATTAGTCAATTGCACACAGACTTCAAACTGCACAGGCCGTGATTGAACTTCGACGACACAAACTCAAACCTACGCTCTTTTTGCTACTCGCCTGTGCTTCCGTCACGCGGCCGCCATAGTTGCACTCACCAGCCAAATAGTTGATGGCCTGCCAGGTCTTTGACCCCTGAACCCTAAGCCCAAACCGTAGCGCGAGGCTGTGCTGCGCATTTGTCACTACAAGTGGCAGGGAATCCCATCTACCCCGACGGAAGACAGCCTTGTACTGTATTTGTTCAGGAGACTCGTCGATAAACATCTGCAGCTGTCTCGCGGAAATCCGCAGGTCCTAAGCGCAAGGGTGCAAGGAGGCACTGCTACTGAAACACTTGCCTTCAGAGGCAAAGGCATGAAATTTGCGAAATCGGTAATGAAACCGCAGCGGATGCATCCGGCTGCCGTTTGTCCACCAGGAACTCATGGCAATGACATTGCTGCTTCTAGTACTCTGTTGTACTCTAGTGTCTTTCCCTTGGCCCCGGCATTCTGCGTGAACTCGTATGGGATGTTCCAGCCTTAGCTGCAGTTCTGCCTTCTACAGAATTCCTTCCGACTCCGCAAACACCTGAGACACCGAAAGCACACACAAGCACATATCGTCCCACAACATCAAAGCCATATGCTCTGATTTTTCGCTCCAGCATGCATGATGCTTCCTCTCGACCCTAAACCCACCATGGCAGCCAAAGTCACCCAGTGGACCAAAGAGCCGGCGCTCCTGACGGACAGCATCTGAACCAGTTGAGGAACCAAGCAGTAGGACATGGACATAGTCTAGGTTGTACAGTTTAACTGCTATATACATATGCACGTTTACGCACAATAACGTTCATACATACCTACCTCATTGGCAAGGTTCGATGTTCTGGGTGGAGCTGTTCAGGGGTGTGTGTCGAGGATGTCTTTCTAGGGTGTCGGAGTTTACAGGTAACTGTCTTCTCACTCGGGGGTTAAAACCTCGCACCGTGAATGGACAAGATCAGTACCATTCGCGACTTGGAAGACTTGGTAGCTGGCCGTGCGCGACGACTTACTGACAAAGGTAGGTGCATTGAGACGTTCGATATTTAGGTGTCGAGCTTGATTAGAATGTTCTCCAATGTCAGTCCAAGCCTTTCCCTCCAGAGGCAGCTTCACTGTTCGGTTCCAGGCCCGAGTTCTGTGCAGGGCTTCAGCTCCGACCCGAACCGTCTAGCCCCCTGCAGCCCCAACCTCAAAGTCACCCTCAAACTGCCCTCGGCCCTGACACCTGGATGACGGCGTGGAAGAAGCAAAGTGCGTAGAGAAGCCGCTTGAACGCCTGCAAGTCTCCGGGCAGTTATTTGCCGCCAGCTCTTGGGGCACCCGCCAGTTTCCGGATCCAGGTTTGCACAATTTGTTCCCAGAGCAAAGATGTGACGAAGAATCTGTTTGAATTGTCATTCCAGCGACTTTTTGCTGTGCGGGAGTGCTTCCTCTCCAATCCTATATGCCCCGTGTCGCAGCTGTGAATAGGGAGTATCGAAGCCCATTCTCTCAAACTTAAATGTTGACCACACCGGTTCCATGACGAGTCAACAATATGCAAGCATTCGATAATGCAAAGCTATCCCTCGCCGCATTAAGGCCAAGCTTCCTCCGCTTTTGCTTGGGGTGTTGAGGCTTCTGCTTGAGGCTCGATCTCCTTGCGATCATGTCTGTTATCATCCTGTGTGGATCGAAACACAAAGCCCAGTGCCTGACACCTGGTGCCCGAACCCTATACTCCTCCAATCCTATCCAGTTCATGCGCTCCTCTGATGTAGCAGATAAAACGCAGCTCACACTACGATCTCTGTACCACCTGCAGTTGTCGGTGTTGTGGGCATTGGCTAAACCATTCCGTGAACCCCGCAACTGGAGCGCCTCCGGGTTTTTACATGCCTCAAAAAACTCCTCATTGCTGATGGGGTCCTCAGTGACGGAAAAGGTTTCTGCTCTGCGGAGCTGCAGGCAGTCTTACAGGCCTGGCCGGCCATGTCACTTTTCTGCGCTGATTGACGCTGGAGAATGATGCTTTAAGGTTCAAAACTCTGTGCCATACTGGAAGGTCGGTGCATGGACTCTTGCGGCCGCAGCCGGACAATCGGCCGGTGGCAGCCAGGGCAGCAAGTTTTGAACCCAAGTTCCTACACCACCAAACCCCACCCTGCGGTGGCGGGACGTGCGCAGCTGAGGCCAGTGCCATTAAGTAGGATCCTTCGAGGTTCATGCGCAGACCCTGCGGAGCCTCGTTGGTGATCTTGACCTCTGCTATGTCCGTGGGAAGGTCGGGCATTGAATCATGATTCGATTCAAGCGCCTTCTTATTTGTGAATGGAAGTATTGAAATGGGGAATCGCCAGCAATCATCTCCTTTCAGCAGTGACCCTGAAACATTGTACAGAAGGCAGGCAAGGAGTGGCCAAAACGCGGTGCAACTTGCAAGTCTCTCCCTGAATCTGAACACAAATCCCATACTCTGGCTCGGCATCGCTGATGACGCATGAGATATTGGTATGCTGTGCAACGCCCCACCTAAAGACCCGAGGTTGCAGGGCACCCCGGCGCTGTTCTGCAGGATCGAGACCTGGGCAGGCAACAATGTAGTCGAAGCGCCACTAAGAGACCTAGTTGAAAGAAGCACGTCACAAGGGGGACAGCGTCTGATCCCCTCGTTTGCTCTACTCTGCACAAGTCCAAAGTCTCCAAAGTCTCCAGACGCAGACTCAGAGAACTGCTGGAAACTTGTCGGAGGGATAGGACGTGAGCCAGAGCCTGGCGAGAGAAGCCAGGCTGGAACCATAGAAACTGCAGATTGCAGAGGTCACGGAAGGCTAGGTTGAGGGAACATGGGCATAGGTGTAATGTTGAGCTATGGATCCTCGCCCATTCTTAGAGGCCACAAGGCCACGAGGGGTCCGGCGTCAAGTCGCCAGAGCGGCCGGAAGTCCGAGTTTGTCTGCTTCGGATCCATCTGCTCCTCACGAGCTTGCAGCGTGTCACGGTCACTGTGCAGCCCACACTGCTCGGCTTCGGAGACAACCGGCAACAAAAGGGTAGTTTTCTCTGCTCCGCGCTCGAAGGTACACGGGTTCATACTTTTGAACTCCCAAATTTGTACAGCAGTTCAAACCACCCTCCAACCCACATGTCGACGGCTCTCCAGAATCTTGTCCAACTTCGGCATCCAGGAAGCAAAGAGGTGACAGTTCTGGAGCAGCACCTGACTGTCATGCTGCCGTTGATCTTACGAGTAGCTAGTTCCCGTGCATTCCGTCCGTCCCTGAAAGTACGACGTCCCCGAACCGAGCTTCCACATCCTCTACACACAGGATGCCTCTCCGCGATCTCTGGGGAAATCCCCCGAACAGCCTGAGGCCTTAGTTCCGAAGGCCCTCCTCCCAAAACCTCTCAAGGCCCCCACCCAGCTTCCGTTCTGCGTGGCGTCCGCTAGCAGCCTCTCGGCCTTGGGGCCCTGACCCTGACCTCGGCTTTGAAGTCCGGCAGAGGGAGGCTTTGGTGGGTTGGCATCGTCCTGATCTTTCATACTATAGTGCGACAAACCGGACATAGTCAGTTCAACTTCTCCGTCTCCTTTGCCTTTTTGTCACCTTCACTGCTTCCGAGCTCTGCTGTGCTCTCTGCGGGCTTCGGATTTCGGATTGTGGTCGTCGTAGCTCTTCTCTCCGCACTCGGTGTTTAGGAGTTGCTGTTTTCCAGTATCCATACGACAACAAACCCACCACGAAGCCGGAAAATGTCACAAGTCAACCCATTGCAAGCTTGCGATGCCGAAATCTCGAAGCCAACCCTTAATTGCCGGTGGAATCTCATCCGACAATGAATTGCTGAAGCGGCGCCTAGCGACAGGCTGTTGATCTCCCTGCCCTGCGAAGGAGCTCGGAACAAAGCTGGCAAAACCGCAAAATCGCTTCCAGGAACCCTTACAACGCTCTTCCGCCGGGTGATGGAGGGACAGCCTTTCGGCTCAACTAAACCTTGAAGCCCTCCGGCGCAGCCATGAAACACAGTTGCAAAAACCGAAGGACCAAATCAGGAGCTTTCGAGTTCCCGATGCACAGCTCTTTCCGCGCCTTCTCTGTGGCGAACATGTACAGGGCTGAGGACGGGTCCGACCTGAGAGCACAGTATTTCCGAGAGCTGCTACTTGACTGGAAGCCTCGCTGCATTCCCGCCGCCGATTGCAAAACGGGTGCCAACTTTTGGGGTTTCTGGGCTGAAAATCTCGGAGATGCGTCGCGCTTCACGAGTCTCTGCATGAAGTCGCAATTCACAGGCCAGTTCGAGCGCAGCGCCCAGGTGACAGTACAAAGATGAGGGGAGAGATGGTGGAAGAGTCGGCATAGCCTGGGCTTCGTGATGGCTGCTTGGAAGCTCTACCGCGACAAATCAAACGTCGAAGCTGTATTGTCTAGGGGCCAGATATTCGTCTCGATCCGCACAACTCAACTTTCGAGGATGAAAGTTTCCCGTGGCAAAAAGGTTCCGCCAAGGGACTGCCAGCAATGTCGAAAGGCGGTGGTGTGACGAACTTTTCACCAATCTGACGGAAGTGCAATGCTCTGCATCATTCGAGAAGCTAGTCGATGATGCTGCAGAGAAACTGAAAGGCCAACGCGACATTGAATTCGGATCCATCAGGCTGCAACATTTGGAAGCTAACAGAATCTAACAAGACTGCATGCCGTAGTCGCAAGATTTTCAACATGCACATCCCTGGCTTGGGATACTTCGTCTTATGACCCTCTCCCGGTGCCTCATCTGCCACGTATCCCAACACCGCCGGCAAGACGCGGTCGGGTCGGACACACCTGAGACCGTTTGCAAAACACAAACATACATACATACATACATACATACATACATACATATGTATCAGCCTCCATTTGAGGCTTGTGTTCCTAGCGACTCGGCGACTTCCAGTTTTGGACGGAAGAACAGAATCTGTTCCGAGTCAGCATCGCCTAAAGCGGTTTGGTTGAAGAAGGAATCGTCAGCCTTGTGACTGGGGGCCATGCAGCACTGCTTCTAAGCTCCATACTGAGGCTTTACACGAAAAACAGCTGAAACGCAACTGAGCTTCACAGGCACTGTGACACTGCGAAGTCTGAAGCAGATTTAGTTGCAAGGCTGACTCCAGGAATTCTCCAATTGTTGGGACGTTCTACGCATTTCGCAAGCCACAAGCCCTGTCGCTGAAGGTCCCAGGGCCCAAATCTTAGCCCCAAAGCGACACACCGCCCGATCGGAAAAATCAGAAATCGAGGCCTGGCCTCAGCACCAGGAGCTTCTGGAAGCCGGAAAGATCTCAGGCAGCGGGCGCTTGCTTTAAAACCGAGTGTTTCCCTTACGAGGTTGACCTAAAGGGGGTGTTGAGACATGTATTCATCGACCATGTCAGACCATGCAATGTCCAACCCGTGTTCCATCTTTGTCTCTCAAAGAACAGAAACTCCCTACCGCTTTCCGTTGCTACGCATCAGGGAGGGTCACGAGCGCAATCTATCCGATTGTCTCAAGATACCCTTGAGCATGAACGCATGTGACCACCAACACACAAGATGGATCTCTGCGAACAACACGGAAGATTCCTGGAGTTGGAGACTCTTCTTCTCACGTGCCTTCGATGCAGTGGGGTGCCATTGGCCCTGTCAGACACCTCGGCGGCCGCAAATGTATCACGATTTGGGTGATAATGTGGGGTTCTTGACATTCCATCTACGCCCTTGGGGAATGTGCATGCCTGAAGCTATGCAAGCACCACTGGCTCTCCAAAAAAAACAGCGGTGGTGGGCTGGCGCTAGCATGATGGCACACGAACAAAAACGCACATGCAAGACCCTTTACCACGGGTTCGCCCATTGGCTACTTCTGCTTGCGCAAAGGATTGTAGGACATGTCATGCTTTCGATAGTGACACTGTTTGACATCCTGTAGCACAAACACGGCCAGAAGCGCAATCACATGCCACTGCCACAATGCTGAGTCTGTTCACCTGGCCATCTAAAAATGGGAAGCAAAGCGAAAGCCGGGTCGGATTTGTTCCTTCCAATCCCAATCTTCAATTCCGGGAAGTGTACAAGTCTATACTGGAAGTAAACTCTCGCGCCCCGTGCCCGCCCGGCCCACAACAGCCCAGAACCCTCCCCTTCTCGGAGCTCGACCCCATAGGGTCCGAGGAGTCATAGGCCTCTTTCCATCGCACCATCTGCTCGTTGAAGCTGGCCTTACTGTGAACTGTTGCCAGGAAGGCCCCTGGCGGGGGTGAGTTTAGGATGAAAGGAAAGCGATGGCGATGATGACGAGGATTCGTATCGAATCGCTTTCTGATTGCAGCGACCCGCGGCTTTGGCGGGGATATCTTGCGCATGAGCTGGAACTACCAAATTTTCTACTTATAATCGAAGCTTAAAAGCTCGCAAGCCACCAATGTTGCGTGTTGCTGTTGCGAGACTTCGTGCTTCTGAGGAAACCTCAACCGCCCGCTGCGATTACTCGCCGCGCAAGACTTTCAAAGCTTTGTGCAGCTTGCTGGCAAGGACGGCCGTCAAGCCGGCTTCACGGATGATTTGCGCGACCCCCTCAGTATCCAATTCTATCAAGTCTTCCAAGCTCTGGGCCCCGCTGGACTTTACGATGTCCTTTGCAGCTGAGCCCAATCCTCGATCCTCCAAGAACCGGTGCAAAGGAATGAGGCTGCTCTCGACGGAGCCAGAGGACGAACACTCCATGGCGGAGTGGTCTATGCAGCCATCAACACAAGTGGTCCACTGCCTTGCAGAAGCCCATGGCCGCGGCACCTGCCGTACCACCTAAACTAAGACTTCCTGTCAATCCCAAGCTCGCCATAGAGATGCCCTGCAAGGAGGCAAAAAGACTGCCGCCAGACACTGCTGCCATGTGGCTTTGCCACAGAGCTGCCAAGGAACCGCCAGCTATGCCAGCACTTGTAAAGCCCGCCGCAGCCAGAAGAACAGGTGCACTCGCGACGCTATCATGGCAGCAGCACACTTCCAAGGAATGGATACGTTGCATGGCTGGCAGTGTCCACTCTGATTGGCCAGGTAGCCGGCGTCACAGCAGCATTGACCCTGGAATTTCAGTCCCAGAGCTGCTGGCCAAGAAAACCAGGCACAGCAGCAGCATCATGGCCACGAACGACTCTTTTTCTCTGCGGCATGGCTATGGCCGTTCGATTGTTTCATGGTCGCAAGTACCACTGCTCAGAAAGACTCTCCGTTATATGAACTGACCCGCTCTTCCAAGTACCTGGCAACTGATTCCAGCTTTTGAAGGCAGGCTGAGAGGTGGGACCTGTCCAAGCAAAATCGGCCGAGGTAGCTGTGGGCCAAATGGCTGATACCCACCTCCAAGTGAATCCGGCATGGACAGGAACACTTCACAGATCTCCACAGGACCACTACCGAACGTGGAGTTGCCACAGTGCTGCTTGTCATGATGCAATATACTGTCGAATTGGTTTTGGGGCAGGGCAACCCAAAATCTACGCGAGCATCTGGAACTCAATGGCATTGACCGTTTTCTTGGCTTGCGGTGGCTGCTTATGGCTTTCGATTTGTTCGGGTCTTTGTTTTTGGCTTGTGCGGGAAGGCTTTAGGAGTGTTTCAAGTTGGTAATTCCGGGACGAGGATCATGACCATGGCGCCCGACAGTGACCATGATGCCGAGGATTCTGCTGCTAGCTCACCTAATTAATGCTGCTTTGCGACGTTCAGCTGGATGAGGATGACGGGGCCCGCACCGGGATTTGGGCATAAAGCTCCTCGACCTTGCTGAGCTTGAAAATCTCCAGCCAGCACCTATCGCGACCGCAGACTCTCACTTCAGATGGAGCATGATCTGAAACCCAGGCCGAAGCTGAAAAAACTACGAAGCTGGCTCGGTGTTCGTGGCGTGTCACCAGTGTGACCGCAAAACACGATGGGATGGTTTGGGCGGACCCGAAGTGGCAAGCACACTTGGACGCCTCAACGTCATTCAAAAGCATGCCTTCCCCAAAGCTCTATGCCCAGTTTCCTAACTTAGGAGGCCGTAGAAATGCTGATGTGCATTCTACCACAGCACCTGTCTGGAATCCAGTCGGCAGGCTTTGCCGGAGGCTCCTTGCAAGCTGCAGGGCGTCTAGTCTAGTGTACTTCAAGCAGACTATGCCTGCATCCTCAACTTGATCAGCCCGTGGATGCAGATGGATGTGCAAGACCATAGGTGATAGATAACCTCGGTACCTCCACATGCATGCGTCCTCCATAGCAGTGCCTCCTGTTAGAAGGAAGCGGTAGTCTGACGGAGACACCTGAACAAAGCTTCGCTCAAGAGTCTATAGCTCAGTGAAAGTGGGGCAGCAGAAGTGATTAGTGTGACAGGAACAAAGAAACACATAGCCAAGGCCTTGCCAGTGGTGATGCGTAGTCGCATGGTCAACAGAAACGAGAACAAGAGCTTGTGCTTCTCGAAAAGCGATCGGCAAATGTTCTTGTAGAGCATCTCCTGGGAATACGCAGGGCCTAGGGTCCTTCATCATTCCCTGTCTATTTGGCTTGATGCCTGCTCCGTACTAATTACGCCACTACATTGTCGCAAACAGCGCTCCATGAAGAAGTCGTTCAGAATCGCGATGCGCTTGACCTCATGCCAGCGTCCCCCCCTCCCCCCGTTGCATTGGCATTCGCATTGTGGCTTTTTGCATGTTAAAACCACCTCTGTCCGAAGCGTTGAACTGTTTGGGCGTCACGGTCAAGGCCTCAGGATTGCTGCAGTGGGCCGTAGCCCTCGGGCCCGAGCAATGTCGTCCGTCTTCTCCGACTTGGCGATAGCAGCCTTGAAGAGGCCGATGAAGAAGGGGAGTGAGTACTGGTACATGGGATCCTCGGATCGCTTCAGGGCTTTGGGGGTACTTTTTCGTGTCAGTGTCCGATGGCCATGCAGACCGAACAGTCTGTAGTCGTCTCACAACGAGACGCAATGCTAAGAGGGGCCTTGAGACAGATTTTGAGGAACTGGCAATGTTGGCAAGATCTGCGATGCAGAAGAAGAGGATGGCGGTCTGAAACCTGCCGTAGAAAGCACTGCAGAGTGATTTGAAACCCTCTGCTGCATGTCCACAAGGCACCGTCCACTGCAAAAACCTGCGAGACTTGATTTGTATCAAGCCGGCCGGCAGTACGCCACGGGAACATACTGGAGACGAGCTTCGTCAATCTGCTTTTCGGTCGTCTCAGCGGTCTGCTGCTTCTCTGCCTGAGCTCATTCTCGTCGAAAATGAGTCGGGTGCCGCAGTTTCTCTCAGCAACCTACAGCTGGCAAACGCGAGAAACCCTGGTCGGGCCCCGGCAATCTCGTTCGATAATTGCTTGGAGGCAGACAGGACCTGCCGCTCTGGGCTCTGGCGCAGTTGAGGTCTTCAAGAAGGCACTACGGTAGAGTCCGCCAATGCCGCTGACTGCACACGACGGCATGGGATGACTCAACAAGCTCCAGCCCTCTTCTCTGCTTGCCCAGATGTTCTGTTCCTACAGCTCGCACTTTTAACATGTATTATACGATGTTGCAGAGAGATTTCTTTGTAGACCTAGGGACCTAGGGACATCTGCTCTTCCCTTTCTCACGTCTTCCTGCATTGTTTACTTGCCTTGCTTGCTCGTTCGCTCGCTCGCTGTCTCGTTTGCTTGCTTGCTTGCTTGCTTGCGATGGCTAAGGGTCCCCCGACAGGCTCGCAGTAGAAGTAAGACTTGGGTCTTGTCCAATGTGGATCCCCGTCTCCGCTGTAGGATTCCAGTAAGCTCGGCCGTCCTCAATATCAAATCGGAACAAGCTGCCTGAAGAACTTGCCTCGATCACCCGCCATGCTTCCGCCATTCAAACCATCATGCTCAAGGCCTTCCACTCCAAGCCTGAGACAGCAACACTCAGAGAGGCCTGAACGGCGGCTTCATCCTCGAGGATGTTCCCTTGGGAAGAACTGAGCACCTTAGAGCTCGAGGTGTAGTCTAGTCATCAGGTTCAAGATGTTTGCTTCCAGTACTGTTTTCTGTTCAGTTCCTTCGCATATACTATATCTGCTGTCTTTCTAAGAACCAGCCATCAACCTTCACTGCAAGCTTCTCCAAGTTCTAGAACCTGCACTGCACTGTGCCCCGGCACCCATCCTGGTGCTGAACAAAGACGCTCACTGCGGCATCTGAGGCTTGCACCAGATCTCACTGTCTATATGAAAGCCGAGGCCAGGTGCAAAAAAATGCGAGAGTTTTCAGCTTAGGATCGGGCATCCAGGATCTTGTTCTCGGTGATCTCCAGCTGCTCTTTGTTCTCTGCACCTGGTCTCGGGTTCTGGAAAGGGTGTCCACAGGGCTGCAAGCCGGTATCTGCACGGCACGCATGTTGAGTATGGCAAGGCAGGTGCACGGCTTTAGGATTTTAGGGTAGAATTTGTATCCAGCTCTGATTCGCCCGGCTCTGCAGTGCGACCCGGGCGCCTTCCACAACCAGTCGCGCCTTTTCTTCTGCCAGGTCAGGACGCTCCTGCACTCTGCTAGGTACGGGTAAGGCTTACGGGGACAAGCCCACCACACAATGAAAAAAATGTCGACGGCTGTTTCCATCTCCTGCAAGCCTCTCTTTTTTGCTGTACCCTGGAAGCCGAAACCGCGAACCAGAACAACGTTGGAATCCTTACGACAAAGATCCAGTGCATGCTGCAGCAGTCCTTCTCCACGACGATGTTCAGCAGCTGGTCTTGCAAGCCCACCTGAGTCCAACTATCAACCCACATGCCTGTCTTGTGACCCTCTGCAACCCGAAGCACACAGTAAAAACGCCGCCACATTTGCTGCAGAATCATCCGTGCCTGTGTGATCATGAAGTTCAGCAATGTAACCTTGACAGCCACCTTCGTCCCAGGCTGGCGAGCTGTGCACCACAAGAGGCAAGCAATGGTAAGCAGTAGATGGGTGTAGTCAGGATAACGGGGAACGCCTGTAAATCCATGAGAACGAACTGGCCAGATCACTCTGACCCATGGGACATGCCTTCATTGTGCATCTATGACACGCCTACTGGCTGGCACTCTGAAATTAGAGGCAGCCTCATGCGCGGAATCCTGGAAGCCTACCCAACGGCCTCCGGAAGGTAGTGCGGATTTCTCAGTTTCGTTGTGAGATAGAACTTGAAGTCCTTCTGCCACTCCATCGTCGTCTGGCAATTCGATATCGGATTCACAGGGTGACACTAAGGGGGGTTGTCCGGCGCATTTCATTGCTTGCAGTTCCCAGGGTTCACACAGGAAATGCACGTCCTGAATGACATTGCAAAACCAGACCTAGATGCCCTAAGTCCTACACATTTGCCGTATGTTTCTTGCTCTGCTTGGGACGTAGTACTGCTTCATGCGACATACCAGACCCGTGTCTTTTTAAATATCCGTTCCACAATGCCAAACTAGGCTCGAGTCCAGGCCTCACCAAGCTTGATCATCACCCTCGGATGGCAGGAAAGGTGCTCCCCAAACACGGATGATCGGGTATCTCTGCTTTGACTCCCAGTCCTTCAAAGTTTGACTGGGCATGAACATCTACTGACCACTCTAGAAAGCCTTCAACACCCCAGGGTGTGTGCACAGTGTACCAAAGCATGAAGGCTCAAAACATCTGCTGCGAACTACAATTCGCACAAAGCAGGCCGAATTCTGCGAGAACGGTCACATGCTGCATGACATCGTGACATCATGCATCCGGGCATGGCTGGGGTCTCGGGACGTGAAAGCAGAACGGCTCCGGCTTTAAGTCACGCTGCGTCAAAAGCCGGTAGATGCGATGCTGGAACTTCACCCCTACTTCGAACTGCGTCTCGGAACTGCTCCCAACCACTGTTAAAGGCATTCCACTCTATGCCTCCGTCGCACGTTCGTGTTTGCACCACCTGCAGCCTGAAACTAACCAGCCTTTGCACAAAATCTGAATTAAAGTGTATAGACAGGTAGGCTTGCTGCCGAGAGACGCATTTCCCTTCTTGAAGGTCTGCCGAAGGAGCACCGGCTCTACCGCCGGATCCGTGTCCTCGAGGAATCCAGGAGCCCGAGCATGACTCAGGGATCTCCCGACGCGGAAGGCGGAACCCTTGTGCTCTGTCTATGCCGCTTTCCATCAAGGTCACCAAGGATCCTTGCCTCGATCTTCCTGGAACCTGATGCAAGCAACTCTGGAACCGACCTCCAGCATGTTTTCGATGAGCATCGGGTTTCCGAACTGGATACAGCCTGGTTGTGGGAAGTTTCTGAGTTTCGAGCAACTAGAGCGAACCTGTGTCCAAAACCTTCAGAAATCATGCTAAGGCAACATCCACATTCCATGGATTGCATGCTAGACCCGGCGAGTAAAGGTGACTTACCTACAGGATAAGGTGGCAAGTCGGTACTTTAGGCATGTTTTGCACTTGCTTGGATATCATTTCGTTCTTTACCCAGGATACAACAAACAACGGAACTCCTGCAGTACATGATTCAAAGGATAAGAACCAGTCGGGAGATCCAGAGTTCTGGGCTTTCAAGCCCCTGGCGGACATGTCATACATTTCGGCACCGAGTTGGAAGCCCCGAATCCGCGCCCGGACCTTCGCTCGCATCCCCGCGCCTTCGAGGCGCTTAAGGTAATCCCCATCGGTGAACTTGGCCACGACGATCTGGAGTGGCTGACCCATCCTGCTGGGCTTAGGACATCTCCAAGGACTTGGGGCCTTGTAGTGCTCTTCGGATCAGGCTTTGCAACTGCCGGTCCCATCTCTTCCGCTGATGTGACACATCATGCCCTGAAAACCATTGCAACAAACTCGCCGGGGGCGCTTCTTGATCCATCGGTTGGCCTGCCCCTGGGGATCAATGCACAGGGGCCACCTGGGAAAGCTTCGTTACAGTTAGGTGCTGTTGGGCTCTTGGCCCGCAGGGTGACTGTACCAGTGGTACCACCATCACAACCTGATGTTGCGGCCGCTGCTGCTGCTGCCACTACGAGGTCGACGAGAATTGCGAGGAGTCAGGAGGACGAAGAGGAGCTAAGAGGATGCGAGGCATCAAATCGTCGCTTTCTTGCATAAAGTCACAACGATGTATGCTGTTGTGTTTATTCAACGTCGCTGGAAGTACCTTCTCGCTTCTTCTGACTGCACAACTACAGGCATTCAAACAACTCTGTCAGTAGCCAAAGAGCGCCTCGAGTAGCTGCTGCTTCAATATAGATATCGATGTTACTGGCATTGGGGCCTTTAAGCCTGCAGCTTCGTCACAGAAACTGACGCATTCGAGTGGGAGGGCTGAACCTCAACATAGCACCCTGGACGGGCTTGCCTCAGTCTGAACGACACTCCAAGACTCCAGAATCCTATAGATTAATTGACTTCGCAATTCTCACTGCCGGGTACCCTAAGGGCTGGACCGTCGTGCCTGAGCGATTCAAACAGGGTCAAGAACCCCTTGCATTCCATTTCTCGATCTTCCAAAGCGTTCGCTTGCTTAGGTCAGGTGCTTGTCACACTTGTCAAATCGGCACCTCAACCTAGGGCAGCTTTGTGGGAGCTCCCAAGCTCAAGGACGAAGCCAATGTCTTGGCTGCGGGGGCTTGGAATTTGTGCCTGGGGCGAATGGAACTCCAAAAAATCTCACCCTGGAGCAGCAGGGAAGCCCGTCAGCGCCCAAGGCCCCCAAAACAAGTCCAATCCTAAGCAGGCTTGCCTTGTCCATGATGATGCCGTTCTCGATGCTGAAGGAGTCGTTTGGTAGCCCGGCTACGACCCAAGCACGCACCTGAGGCAGTATGGCACACTGTGCACGCCAAGGGTTTCTTGTCGCCGGAACGCCCAAGACAGCCTCCTCGGTTAACCGCGTTTGCATGCTGCATTTCAAGGTAGTTGCTTGTTTTGCTCTAGTGCTCCGAGCATCCATGCCGCGTTGGCCATCTCGCAATCCTTCTCGGCCAAAGTTTTTCTGTACAACAGAAGCCCCGACCGCTCAAGCCATACGGCACATCACCACAACGTCAACCTCCAAACACCTCTGCTGCAACCCGACGACACATTTCTGGCCCTTTACGGCTACACTATTGACTATGGACACTGCCCAATGCCTACTGCCTCATTCTCAGTCTGGCAATGCCCGACAGGGGCCCCTGTCTGATCCTCAAGCTTGCATTCCAATGCCAACCTTCAAACCATAAGAACTCGCACCCCCTGGAACTTCTCAATCAACACCCCTTGTGCCCAGACGGGCCTTGACCGGTTCGCCCAGACAACGCTCGAGGCTGAACCTGGACTAGGCAGGTCCGAGTCGGGATTTAGGGATTTAGGTGCGGGAGGAGCCTCACTATGGGCACTGGTACGCTAGACACTCACACTGCGCTGTTGTTGAAACGGTCCGACGGCCACAAGCTTGAGTTGAGCGGCTTCTGGCTTTTGAGCACAGGCAAGGTCCAAGCCCGTGTCTTGAGGACTGGGTTTGCCGGGCAACTGCTCTAGTAAGGGTTCTGGTTCTATTCATCTTCACCTCAAGAAGACAGAACACAACATCTTGGAGCAACCAAGGTACAATCCGCCGCCTCGACCCAACTGCACAGAACTGGGTACAAGCTAGTTCCATGTTGACACGTGCGGAGGTCTACCAACAGATGCACAGAAAGATTCCCGTCGGAGGCCACTCTGAGGTTAGGACGTTTTGGAGTAAGGGTTGACCCCAGGGACTCGCAAGCAGGATTGAGTAGCCAAATATGGAAGAGTTAATCCATCATAACTTAATAGTCGAAGCTTACCTTCAACCCTTAAGACATCTGCTGGACCTAGTCGCCGAAACTATTCACCATCGGGCATCCGAGGGGCTTCTCGGAGCCCGGGATCTGGCGTTCTCGAGATTCTGCTGCCCAGGACCTGAGGCGCTTCGCGCAAAACATCAGGCGCGAAAGCCACAATTGAATGCATTTAATGTAGGGGCCTTGATAATTACTAGGGTTTTGGGGGTTCCTTCTTATTATAGTAGGATATACCCCCAAACCCTATTCTCATTACTAAGGCCCCTATATTGCATGTATTCCTCATGCCAGGCTTCAGGCGAGACAGCTCCCTCGCGGAAGTCAGGTGTGAAGGCCCCAAGGTAAGCTATGAGACCAGATGCAACGATGACCTGGCGTGCACATCCATGATGCTTAGCTTCGACAGAATCGACACCGGGCGGTTCAGAAGACACCATGACTATGTCTGGACTTCTACTAGACTTCTGGGACATCCACGGCCAGGATGCAAAACTCTAATATCTCATCCTGCTTCTCAAGCCTGCAATGACGACGGTGCACAGTCTTGGAAAAGCAGGCCAGGCAAGCATCTCCCGTGAGATTCACATAGTCAGCCTCACATGCAAAGGTGGTGTGCGGAAGCATCTCGAGGTGCACTCGGCAGCACACTACACAGCAAACAAGATACAAAGAACAAGACGTTCCCATGGCTTTCCAGCGAGAGTTCTGCGGCTCCATTGCAAAATAATCAGAAAGAAGCCGAAAGCACGCGTTTCTCATCCAGAACCTTCATGTCCGACATACATATGCTTTCTTTTAGCCAGTGTAGCTGGCTGGCTTGAGCGGATGACGTATCTGAACCAAAGACTCATGCTCCAAAGCTAAAGTCCCTTTGACGGAGTCTGGGCTGGGCTCCCAGCTGCCAGGTCGATGGCGTTCTGCGTCCACCGTGTCTTTTCGCCGCCCAAGGAGGTGATCAAGGTCTCTGCCTGATTCAGAAGCTCATCTGAGCTTTATCACATGATATCTCGAACCCCAACCACAGAGGCCAAAGGGCATTTCGACACTTTGCGATGCTTGCAACCAATTCAACCAAAGGTCTCGTTCCAGCTTCTTCTGGCAATTGTCCACTTCGGCAGTCAGGTTGTCTTGCTCCTGCCTGACGCAGAATGTCAGGCTTCGAACCCAAACCAGGAAGCTTCATGTCTTGACAGACCACGGCGGCAATGTGCTTGACAGCAGACTCAGCACCAGCCTGAGTGAGTTCAGCTTCTGGTTCAAGGCATCCAGCTCATCTACGACCTTCTTCAGGTCCGCACCTGCTTTTCTCTGCAAGGCACTGAAGGTTCGAAGGCATGGCGGAAATGAAACCTGGAATCTGACAGTTTTCTCTCACTCTGGCATGACTCTCCCAATTCTCCTGTCGTCCCTTCTCCACCGAAATCGGGAAGCGTTCAAAGATATCCCACAAGCTCATGCCCCTGCACGCTGTCTCGGAGAAAGTTAAAAAGGACAGCCTCCCTAAAACGAGCTCCGGACGCTTGGCATTCAGCTTCTCCATCATGGCGTTGTAAGAGGACTCGGCCTCGGCGAGGCTCTCCTTCTTGGGCGCGACGACCTCTCAGAGCTTCGCTTGGGTGCTGAGGAAGGTGCCGCGCTCAGTCTCAGTTTTTGCACTGGGCATCGATGTTCAAGCTGCGCTGATACTGGATCCAGTCTATAACTCCGAACACGGTCCGCTTAATTCAAGACAAGACTTATCACAACAGTAGCAACAGCCGTGCGCATAAGGCATGCTCATCACTTGTTGTCACCGCAGGCCCTTTAACAACATCGACGCGGCTCACTTACTTCAGTCCTTATGAGGAACATCAATGCTCTTCCCAGAGCTCGTGGGTTGGCACGCTGGCCTTTGCCACCCGATCGTAGGTCTCCATGGCCCGACACCACATGCAAAGACCTGGCAGATCTGCACATCATGGGACGCTGCAGAACCTTCTCTAAAGCAGCAGCGTAGAACCTGCTTGTTGCAGCACGGGTTGAACGGGACTATCTTCGCCGAATGACCCTACATTGATAAAGCAAGCTGCCTGCCCGTGAATTGAGCTGCCCTGACATCACCCACCTCCAAAACTCCGACTTCTTTCGAGCTTGACAGGGGCTGGGTTGAGGCCAGGTGTGTTCGGCATGTTGCGACAAAAAGACTTGCACGGCAGGCCCCACGCTGCCGTGGAAACCTTCTGAACCTCGGGCGCATGGACATGGCTGACATCGGACGGAGGTCAGAAGAGGAGGACCTTGACCTGTCAGAGCCTCAAGTGGTTGAGGGCCTACTCCAGGCTTCCAGCGCGATCAGGCTGGAAATCCTCCTTGACGGTGTACTCTGAAATTTTCTTGATCGTAGCCTGGCAGAGAATGAGCTACTCCAAGCTTCATTGACAGACAGAACTGAATGCACCCGTGACGAGACCGGCGTGCGCGCAAGACTACGAAATTATCGCATGGTTTCGCACTGCAGCAGCTTTCGCTGCGTTTCCTCAAGGTGCCCCTCCCCTCACAAGACAGGCCGGCCGGTGGGATGTTGTCCTTGTCAAACGTCTGCCTGAGTCGCCAAGGCACCGTCCATCTAGGGGTACTACAGTAGAAGGATTCAGTACTGTGACGTTGCACACACCTCTATATTACGCTGACTTCATACAATTAGTTATTCGGTTCTCAAGGTTCCCGTGGGCGGCTGAACAATCCGCTAGTGGCAGGGCATTTTCTGTGTGTCCCTGAGGAGAAGGCAGCGACTGGAGGAAGCCCATGTCCGAGATCATCTTCACTGCAGCCGGCCAGAAATCGTCGACCTTACCGTCTGTGGCGGTAAGGGCGGGGCTGGGGTGATACTGAGACTAGTGGCATGCCAAATTGGTTCGCGACTTTTGCCGTGGTGGTATGATGCACGTCCCAGATTCAGGGAGACTTCTTTCAGGCAGCGCAGGGATGGAAAGGTCGGCCGGTGTCGGCTAGCTTGGTCTTGTGACTACTGTCAAGCCAGCACTTGGAAAAGAAAGAAAGACAGCCAGAGAGAGACGAACGGTAAGGGGTGCAAGTGCAGCATAGGAGGGAATCAGGACGGGACGGCGTGCTTCACCCATACCCTATCCTCGCCTTGTACATCATGCCCTCGAGAAGACAAGACTTTGCTGCACTGTCTGAAGCGCCCACCCACACTTCCTAAGTGCTTGTCCGATAACCCATCCGAGGCTTCACAGCGGATTTGCAACACCACGGATCCTTGCGCATGGGCTCCGGCCATCTTTCCAGAATCGTCTTTCACCCGCACAGGTTTCACCTAGGCGGGCTGTGGAAGCCTGGTGGTAAGGAAAGTATCAGTACGATCATCATCAACAACAACTACATCGACATTTCTGTTTAACTTCGTAATCACCATCATCAACAAGGCCAGGCTCCACAGTTCCTGACCTCAAGCTGCTGCAAACCCTGGCGGGCGAACCACGATCCTCGAGACTTCGTCTGTGTTCCCCGGCATTGCGAAGCACGCAGACGGCGGAAAGGACAAGCCGAACCGGCGCAGCAGGATTCTTCATGGCCTCAAGTACGGGGCGTTCGATTTGCGAGAGTCTTGAGGCCAGGGAGGTTCGGCCTTTCGGGTCTTGTCTCGGATGGAGAGTTTTCGCAGTGAGAGCGATCAAGCTTGATGTGTTCAACTGCACGGCCAACACCTCGAAGCTCCAAACAAAAGTGAGCCTTGAAGCCACATTTCTAGACCCCCCAACTAGATCCTAAGTTCCCACCTTCACTTCGGCGATCTCCTTGCCAGACCTCGGTTCTTCCATAAGAGCAGAGCTTGAACAGCAAGAGAGCCTTTAGCTTTGGCCTGGTCCTCATCAAAACACGGGCCGGAGACATTTTGTAGCCAAAAGATGGTGCATGGAGGCGCTCCCACCCCCAGCCCTCAATGACTCCTGCATCTCAGCTCCTGAGCCCAAGTTTCAATTGCTCTGAAAGCTGAACATCCGAGAGGCAATGTGTCCAAAGCCTTGAGAGCTTCATTCAGGGCAGGCCTCAGCGGAATGTCGGAAAGCTCACTATTGGTTGTTCAGCGGTTTATCACGGTCCTCATATGTCCTCATGGAGTGGCACGTGGGGAAACGAGCAGCCGAAGCGATTCGGCGGAAGATCCGAACACACAAACGAATGAACGAGAGAGTGCGCGTATGTATGCATGCATATAATCATGCATATACCCAGGTCGTATTGTCTCTATTGGCGATATCTGTAGCGAAATTGTTCTTTCAGTTTTCTGCTTTCCTCTGTGTACTTTGTGTGTGTGTGTGTCCTTCCTTGTAGGCGAATCCTTGCATTTGTCACGACGAAGAAGAGCAGCGAACTCTTGCTTTCCCTGACTGAACCCTGGACCCGACACATGCACAAGGCCCTGAAACAACTACCATGTTCCGCCGCTTAGCCCTCGACATGGCTTCAGCAAGTGCCTCCTCGCACTCCTGAAGACAGGCTTTTCGAGTTGGCCGGGCTTGCGATTTTTTAGGGTCTTTCTTTGACCGTTTTGTCTAAACATGAGGGAGATGAAAGGCTGCAAGGTTAATGCCAAGACTCTCAGCCAAACAGGTACGGCGAGATGGCCGGAAGGGCAGCTGTGATTCGAAACTGAAGTGCAACGAGCAATGACTTGGTCTTTGCAACTTTCCGAATCCGACCCAATCAGTCCTTCTTGATGGCATTGGCTTGCCCAGCTGCTTCGCTAGCAACGGCCTCATCACCTGCGACCACCTGTGGACAAGCAGCGGAGCTGCGAAGGGAGAGCTTGGAGAGCAGCTTGGTCTCTTTCGACTAGGTCCACAGCGACCGACTCCAGGCTGCAAACACCATCTGGAAGAAAAGCCTATGTGGCTCAACACCCTGGCCGTGAAAGGGCTGAGGGGTTAGGAGATGGCATGGTCCGTGCCCGTCAGGGCTTCGGACAGTGCAAAGAGCCGAAGAATTCGGAGCCAGGGTAATTCGGAGCCAGGGTTTACATCGGCCAATTTCACCTCAAAGTGAGATCCATGTCTTCTGCCCGAGATCTTGTAGCTTGCCTCCTTCACCTTCTCAGTTTTCGCTGACTCCTGCCAGGCCAAGGCGCAAAACATTTTAGTGCCCGTCGGCCGAACCAGGAGGGGTGATTCCATATCAGCGAAGATCAATAACGCAAACGTGTGTGGAGATATGTGGAGCCGTCAAGCACACGAAAGTGTCGAACGCGAGATAAAACCATCTAAATATCAAGGGAGCGCATCCTCGTTGACGACAATCATCATCTCTCCAACCTGCATTCAGAATGTGCAATTTGGGACTGAGGTCGTTGGCGTTTGGGGCTGGCTTATTCGCATGGACACTCTCGACAGGTATAAGCACAACAAGCCGGCTCAGAGCGCTAAATACTTCCTCTCCAATTGGATACCAGGCCGGCCCTGCACTGCTGATGGGAAAGTGACTACCATGAGCATACTGCCGGCAGTCGACATGTCAACTGCGAGTGCTCAACTAGGGTGACTAGGGTCCTTTGCCAGTCAGTGGCACAAGGGGCACCATCATGGCCTCCTTGTTCTTCTCCACTAGCTTTGGCTGCAGGGCAATGAGCTCCTGACGATGGCATCAGTGTCCCGACAGCTTTCGGGGAGGCCCGGAGTCTCGAGTCTCGTGGCCTGATGCTTTCATATCGCTAAGTTCGGAGCAGTAGATTTCGGGCTAAAGCTTGGACCTCAGACATGTGGAGCTGCCCGAAAATGTCGGAGTGCCTTTTAGAGCAGTCCAACTTTAAGATCAGGATCCTCTGAGTATCTGCCACGAATCAGCCAGTGAAAAGCCTGCAGGTCTTTATCAAGGTATACAACAAAAGCTTCGATTCAATTGTATGAGCAGGTATGACTTTTGGCAGTCCTGCTTCATGCCCTCCACAGACTGTTCGGTGGTTGTCAGCTTTTCGAGACCCACCTGCAGCACAACATGCCAGAGACTTTAGCCGTGACTGTCCTCAGGCCACAATGTTAAAGAGAGTGTCGTCCGTAACGAGAACACAGAGTTTCGGGAAGAAACGTCGTGAGGCTGGGACTTGGGATTCAGAAGTTCACGTGCAGGGGGGCGCTACGAGACGCAATATTGAGTCAGCATGTGAAAGGTTTTACGTGCGCTCCATCCCGATCTCTGAATGATCTCTTCAGCGCCTTATGGCAGCATGCTCTGGCCAGGCAACCAGCCCATCTCCCAGACCTCGATTGCGCAGAGAAAGCGCCTCGTACTTGGACTTCAGACTGCTTATCGATGACCGTTTCTCGGCCAGGAGGGCCTCTCAGTCGAGTTGAGTCTGAGCACTTCGGGCACGAGGGGCACAAATCAGTTACCAGAAAGGGGTTGCAATGTCAACATGAGCTACAGAACCGCAGTATGGGCTCTGGGAAGCAACTGCTTGACAAGGTCATGTGTCGCGTGGCACTGTTGCGCGGAATTGGCAATCCGTCACGAATCGACCCCACAACTGGCCTTGAAGGTCTGGATAAGCTCGAGGAAGGAGGTCGGTGTGGAGTAGTAGATGCCTCGAGCTTGCATTTTCAAGGTAGGTTCTCGGTATCTCTAGGCGTTTTTTCATAGCATTCAAACGATCCATGCTCAAGACTTCCATCTGAGATTGATCACTCGGCTTCTGGCGCTTTAGCTCGTCCTCGAAACGGCGAGCCAACTTCGTCGTCTCTGCATGGAAAAACCTGAGCGACTCGACCAAGGGCTGTCGCGGGATATGCATCCTGAGGCGTGGCCACAGCCACAGCAAAGAACGACGTCAGCAAACAACAACTCCTGTTGCTGTGAGAACCGCTCCCGGCCCCTCTACTCTCGAGCTGAGGGTGCTCGTGCATGAAGACAACTCCAAGTCTGCGGCTGGCACATCTCCACGCAGTTTGAGCGCACCTGGCGGACCGACTACCACGTGCTGGGGCGAGTTGCATCTGACAGGACATCGGCAGGTCCGCATGCCGAAACTGCAACTCCGAATGCCTCACAACCAGACTCCTCTCCTTTCCATCCTTGCATGGCTGCTCAACTTCTTCCTTCAACGACTTCCTCACCTCATCCTCAAGTCCCCCAGCCTGCTCATCCAGGTCGGGGATGGCCCTCGCAGGGAATCCCTCTAAACAACGTTTGTACCCCCCCAGACACATAGCCTACAACTAGGATCAACTAGGACCCTACTCCCATCCACGCGAGGATGAATTTCCAGGCATGTGGAGGTTTAGGTGTCTTATGTGCCCTTCTGAACAGTGCCACGGGGCTGCAGGAAGCGTGTCGCAACAGCCATGAGGGCATCGGAGGGCCATGCCTCTTGTTGGCGACGTTTTGGTGGTTATCGTGGCATCGGCAGTTGAGGATAAGGCGAAGGTGCGGGCAGGCGGTTCGGAAGAACTCGGGCTGATATATCGGAGCTTTTCAGCAGACCTTCGGAGTCCTCCTCGGGCTGCATGATTCGAGCGTAAAAGACATCCTGTTCTGAAAGGAAATTTAAGATTGACTCCCAGAACACCAGAGCTCCTCAGCTTGCTGGATCCTCAAAGCCCGCAGGAACTTTCAAGACCGAGCCCGGAGCTGTGTACCAGTCAATGGTGCAGCAGTTGACCAGGGAGGGGAACCTGTCATTCAGCGGGTAGGGCACCTGTTGGTGGGTCGCTTCGGGCTTTGCTGAGTGACATGGCATTGCAGCTTCGAGCTGCTGGTCGGGTCTGCAACTCTGAGATTGAGGGCTTGCTTGCTAGTTGGGCAGGGATGCTCTTCAGATGGGCCGGACCCAACGCAAATCTTGCACCCAAGTGGCTGCCGCAAGCGTGTCCGCCAGTTGTCACCAATTGGCGAGAAGCAGACCACACATCCAACCTGCGCAGGGTCGATTGGCACCAAATCAAAATCGAAAGCTCAGAATGCCCACAGGATTGAAAGTGACCGCCAGATTCCGGCAATCCTGGCGGCTTCGGGCCACGCAAGTTGCATCCACCCAATGCCGAACACCGGAAGCTGAAATGCCCTGAACTCATAATCACAAAAACCTAGAAACAGCAAGCGCGAGCCCAGATTTGGAGTATCGACGGACGCTACAGAAAACGAAGAGGTGGTGCAAGTGTAGTCACGCAGACCGCCCCAACGATGTGTCCTCACACCTGAGACCGCCTCCCCAACGCCTAACTCACTCCGAGTAGCCATGGCCCGGCATCGCTCAATAAAGAAGGCGAAGAGTTGCGCCAAGGTCCCATCCTCGGCGAGACACGCTAAGACGAAGTGTCCCTCATGTGCATGTTTCTGCAGTTGCAACGGCCCAGCGATTTTTGTCGCGAGAGCTGGCAAACAACGGCCTCCGCAACCGTGGGGCATTTTGAGACATCAAACCATAGCCATGCCCGACTATGCTAATGTTCCCAATGCAGACACACTGCACGCCGTGCTACAAGTGCAATTAAAAGGGCACTTGCGTTTTTCCATGGCCGCCTTCGGCAGCGATAGCCGCTCAGACACCAAGCATGTTCCCTTGGTACCTGTCAGTCAGAATCACACTCACGTTTTCAGGACTTCGAGACGACAGCTTTAGCGCGGTGACTCTTCCAGCATCCACAAACCTACAGGGAGGCAGGTCTGGGCATATATTCTCTGACGGTCACCATGAAACAGGAAGCCACCTGCATAAGCCTTAAATTGTTGAACCCTTCACCACAGACCCTTCCCAAACAGTGGGGATGGTGAAACCCCCCCCCCCTCCTCCCACCCACCCACCCCCAAACCAAAAAAAAAATCTCAGCACATCCTAGGAGCGGGGACCAGGAGATGCGCGAGGCAGGTCGATCCTGCACGATAGGGCTGAGGGTCTTAGGGGCTCAGGGGTTTGGGGGCTTCGAGGCCCAGTATGGATCTGGGAGACGGACTTCGGGGTTTAGGGTTTAGGGGTTTAGGGTAATTTTGGGTTGAGGGTTTGGGGCAATATAAGGTTTACGGTCTATGGCTTGTGGTGTTGAATCTTGAGGCATGACTGGCCGCAGGTTTGAGTGGGTGCTTCTCAGCGCCTGACTTACGCGAAGCACGCGTGACATTGTAAAGGCGGACAATCGGGTCCCCTGACAAACTCTGGGTTTAGGGTTTGGGGTTTCTGTTTTCCTTGTATGGCTACATAGGATCGGAGTTCCTCGCTCGACTTCATTGGGCTTGGGGAACGGCATGTGCACATGCATGCTCGGCATTGGGATCAACAAGCTGCAAAAGTCATGTGCCCAGTGGAAGACTCGCACACATCACATGTAACATATCACATAGACCCTCAGGAGTTCCTTTTTTCGCACAAAGTGTTACCCCTTTTTCACTCTTCATCTTGACAGACCTTCAAGAATCACATCCAAAAGCCCTCGGTCTCTTCATTGTAGACGTGATAGCCCAGCTCGAAGCATACACGCTCTTTCGTGTACTCCTTCAGGCTGATCTTGGCATCCACAGTGTCGGCGCCCTGTCTTGTGGCCAGGAGCTCGGAGACCTTGGTGCGGCATGCAGCCTGATGCTGCCTGCGAAATCCAATCATGTCCTGCACGGTCACGGGTTTCTCCACTGTGAAATTCACCAGAGTGTTGGGAACAAGGGAGCCCTCTTCTGAGGTAAAGACCACTTCGGCACCTGTGTGCACCACCTCTGTGGCTTCCCTGACCTTCATGACCTTCATGGAGAAATCGTCCTTCTGGAAGTGCGGCGGGGCGGGCAGGATGTCATCCCATCTCCAAAAAGTTGGTGGATGGCCGCACAGATGCCCAGGACCCCCGAAGAAGCAGCCGATATTCGCCAGGTCAATCGCAATCTCCAGCGCGATCCGCTCCATCTCTTCGAGCGGTACTTTGTCATCCACTGGGCAGCCATCCTTATCCTCTAAGCCCACCATCTGCAACAGTGGGTTCAGCCCCAATGCCACTGCGGTCAACGTAGCCCCATCAGCGACACCCTCCCAGTCTTGGAGACACTTCCCTTCAGAGGTCAGAAACCTGCACTTGTGGGCACCAAACCTCGCCCTTGTGAGCTCTTGTAACTCGGAGAGAGAAGACACCTTTGCTGCATCCAGGAGCTTCTCCCCACTGACCCCGAGCACCGTCAGGGTCCGAGGCAAGGCGTCCATGCTTTCAAGCTAAGTTTAAACAACTTGCTGCTGCTGTTGCTGCACAGCGGATTGCTACGCGTCAAACGTGTACGAGGGCTGAAACAGCTGCAGTGGAGCATGGGTTTCGGGCTTAGGGTTGAGGAAGTTAGGGTTTAGGAGTGGGTTTAGGGATCACATGCCGAATGATGTCGAATGCTGAGTTCATGAGCTGTGCTGTTGAGGCCCCTGAACCACCTCTTTGCCCTAAACAGCCTGCTAAACATCCTATCCCGTCCAATGTCGAGGTCGACAGGCCTCATTCTGTAGCTTTGCGACGGTGTCGTGGAAAACCAAGACCCAACAAGCCCGATGATAAGCGAGCTTGTTAAGAGCGAAACACGCTGGGAGCCGACTGCATCACGACCGCAACCTCCAGACTTGGCAACATCTCCGGGCCTGACTGATCTTCAAGGCGATGTCGGAGCTTGCGTGCTGTTGTCGTAACAGCGACTTCTCCAAGCTTGTAAAAGGCGGTCTGGAGGTGCTGCAACAGAGTTTCCAGATGAAGCCACTGATCCTGGAAGACTCCTCAGATTGCAAGAGCATGACAACCAAGGTAGCCAAGGTACATACCGCCTTCCTGGTGCACCGTGGATATCCAAGGCAATGTGCGCAATCTGCCACATCTCGTTGATCTCGACAGAAAGCAAGCTTCGCGCTGAAGAATGCTTTCAATTCAATCTCCAAGAAACGAGACACCTCGGTCGAGAACATCACGGATGCTCTACAGAGCAGAGAGACATCAAATGCAGTAGGCACCAGGCCGAAGGCCAGCTTAGCCGCTCAGCAACTTCTGGATCTTGGAAGCCTCCCGACACGTTATGGTTCCGATAGGGCTTCATTAATTGTTTTCTGTGGAGCCTCCTTCAGAAAGGAATCCTTTAAGGGCTTGTAGGGATGTACTGGTTGCTTCCGTCCCGGTCTGTCTCACAACAGCGGCCAGCAACCTGGAATCTTGGAACCAGGAGGCTTCAGCTTTAAGACCTGTGGCTGGTGAGCTTAGCAAAACTATCATAAACACAGCGTCTTGCAAAAACACAATCAAGCAAGGCGGAACCAAACTTGCTAGTAGTCGATGGCTTTGAACTGAAAAATCGCAGCCTACAATCACCATCGCAGTGATGCAGACTGCAGGCCCGCAGCTTAGCGCTTGTGGGATGGCCCAAGTCGCGGTGTCGGCATCGCACTACCAACGAAAGAGGCCTCGTTTCGCACCGACGTGTTGGGCGAGCTGCCGCCAAGGACCAGCAGCCTGAGTTGATGGCTCATCAGATATCAATGATGCTGATACACGATGCTAATCACCGCGGGAACAGCACGAGTTGTTGAAGCTTGTGCTTTCTGCACTGGCCCCATTGTAACAGCGTTGTACCGCAAATGCCCGCATGCCCTAAAAGCGGCAGGACGGACATGGGTCCAGAAACCTTAAGCAACGCTTCTTTCAGAAGATCCGGGACACGACAGACGGGTGAACAACCGTTTTACTCGACCTGCTGTTCTGTTCCGATGCAGCCCCTCGGCAAGCCATGATTGCAATACTTGTATCATTTTTTACCATCTGCAACGCCATTGCCAGTAGCATCGTAAATTAATCAGGACGTACAAGCAAGCAGGTGTTGACCCCCAGACCCCACATCCTGTACCCCGCCCTACGCTTTTGCCCCATTTCTCAATCCGAGTGGAAATCAACCTTTGAACCCCGCAATGCACGAAACACATCCAACAACTTACACAATAATCCACAACACGAAACAAAACAACTCACCACAAACTGAACTAAAAACCAAAACACAAGTCTAAACACAAGCACCTATTAAACTTTAACCTTATAAACCGCTCTATACAACCAATCTCCTGATGAGCTCTGGGGTCAGCGACCCCAATAGAAAACCACCCGACAGCTTCCAATCCTGAATTCGGAAATGAAATTTCCAAAGGATTGTACTTAAACTAACAAGTAAAATGCTATTTGGGCAAAAAGGCGTCCAAGCAGGCATTGGGGGGTACGTTTCGGGGTATGATGTGCGAGCATGTTTGGGGGTATCCAATTGCGCCGTAAGCCATTATCACAAGCCATTTCGGGCTCAGGGTGCTCAGTGTTAAGTAGCTTAACTAAACCCCAAACCTCGGCAGGTGATTTCGGTGACTCATGGGGATTGCGCAGGGCAAGTCTTAAAGCCCCAACCGCCATACACCCGTTGAAGCATCGGTAATATTTAGTACGGTTTCTGCAACCACTGGGGTGCAAAGCACAAAGACCTGACTTCATGACTTCAGTTTGCGTGCTCGGCACGCCGACAAAAGGCCATCACTTACTCCAATACTTTTGCGGGTATGAACCGCGTGTGAACCAAGTATGATTCAAAGTATGTTTCGCGCACCGCTATAGCTCAAGGATTGGAATCTGTTTGTTTGGCGACACTGGGAGCTCCAGTGCCAGTAGTGCTAGTACTGTACTGGCATGCGTCTGGTAGTAGTAGTAGTAGTAG